GTATCCAGTTCCCCACTTATCCCTGTTGGATCAAGGTCACGGTGTTATTCAAGTGGACAAAGCATTTCGGTATTTGTTAGCGGCAATCGGTGACGGTTGCAGTTCCAAGGTGCCTTCAAATCCTTTGACAACCGCTCGAGATCCCTCCACTGGTCTTACCAAATCCGATATCCAGAGGTACGAACTGTGCTCATTTAAGTCGACTCACATTTCATCTACTTGTTCATACCAAAACAAAAGTTTCGCATTTACTCTAGTGCGTCTCGTTCCGCGGTTGCAAAATCAGTGGATTAGAGGCACCTATGAAGTATTCGGATACAGGATAATCAAGCGTACAGATGAAGTGCAGGAAACCCAGCTGGAGTATTGTGTAGATTTACCCTGGGATGCCTGTGTATGTTGCATTTTACTCCATGCGGATCTGTGTTGTTTATCGTGGGTATTACACCAATTGGTTATGTTGAGCAATTTATTCACCCTCCTGACCTGTGCTGTTCTCAATTCCTGCAGTGAGTCCACAATGCTGTCCCGTCAGTCCTACAACGCATCTGTCGAACCGCAAAATCCTGTCCGAATTTCCTATCTTTCATCCCCGATTGTTTTCGGCTGGCGTGTTCGATGTACCGTAACTGGGCCTGGTTGTGTCTATCGTGATCGCGGAATCTGGATCCGACGAGGCTGGATCCCGCGATTATCCACGAACACGGTGCAATCGTCTCGTCATCGCTTGCCAGTCCTACGCTATACTATACATATTTCCATCGATTTTGATAAGGTACTTGCGCGCATTGTTGATGTGTTTGAGTACTAGTGTTGTTGTTTTACTGTTACAAGCACCTGTGCGTGTTTATTTCTTTGTTATATGAATACTGACTGCTTACCTAAGTTGCTTTTTGTAAGCGCGCTTGAAAAGTCTAGCATTCATCAGATAGCTTCCGAATGCTCATTTTACATTGGAATTGATTGAATACATTGGTTTCCATTAATCATTTAAGTAAGCATAACATTGCTAGTTCTATGCGTGCATGTTTATATCTCATTCGCCTCAATCGAGTACAGCCCACCGTTCCATTCATTTGAATCTACTCGCGTCACGATGTTGTATCTTCGCTTTTACAGGTACTCTTGAATTTGTAGTGAATCGTATTCGAAACTACGTGAAGACCACATTCTTACCTTTTATTCTCCCTCTTTCTCCCTCTTGATTCACACATGGCACGCAGTCTGTCCCGTTGGAATCTCGACGTTTGCTCGAAATACACCTGAATACGAGTGTGTACAATCATATTACCAACCCAGTGATCTGGTCTTCGGACGCGTTGCACGAGAAACCTGCTTGGCTTCAAGTGGCCTCTATGATTTCGGTGACAAGCTTGGGTAGAGATATCAGCCTCGTCATCGATCCAAACTATTTCGTTCGTTCCTCCGTCACTTCGAGTACCGGTACGGAACGTGGAAAACCCAGTCCACTTGAAGTACTTGGAACACAACCGACCCTGGGACGAAAATGGGGAGCCAGTCATGAATGCAACGGAAGTTCCACAAGTAGCTTTTACTGGCCGTCCAGTTTGTCCCTTCAAAGTACCGCTCCTGTTTCGTCAACTGAGCCCCAAATCACTTTGGTGAATTTCACGGATTCCAGTCGTCCGGAACTGGGTCCACTTACTCAAATTCCGATCATTGTTCATATTCCAACAGCGTGAGTCGTTTGTAGATTTCTCAGTCCATAGTCTAAATATTGAAATTTTTCTTTTGTTGTTCAAGTTGCGGGATTCTCATTGCTCCTGCAGTTCAGTTCAGTTGTTACATCCATTAACCATGCACTTTCGTGCGCCGGTTTTGGTTGCCCATTTGGATAAAAGAGCGAAATGAAGATTGGAATGTTGAA